CCTCGCCGCCGGCCCCGGCGGCGGAGACTCCTCCCGCAGCCCTTCCGTTCCAGGTATGCGTGTTTGGTGGGAAGAGGAGTGCGCCTGGTCGTATATGTGTGTGTGTGTTCGTGTGAGTTTCTCCACTTGGCATCGAATAACTTATGAAATTGCGTACCATGGTGAGTGTGGCGGTGGGCAAAAAAACAACGCGGACACGTTGTCATAGTAGTCTCTCGACAGCGGGGAGCAGCAACAAGTGTATGTGTTGAACTTGAACCAGAGGCGAGCATGTCGTCCGTTTGGCCAGTAATTAAAGTGCATCGGCGGACACCGATCACGTGCGAACGCGTGTTGCTGTCTGTGGGGTCCTTGGGGCTGTGCCGTATTGTTTCACAGGAGGCTGTTTGGTTTTGTTCCCCGCGCCTCTGCGGTATGCTGACCTGTGCCCTCGCAGCGCGTTCATGTCGATAAGACCCGGCTCCACGCTCGTTGCCGGTACTTCGTGACTATGCCAGGGATTTGGGCCAAGACCCGGGCGAAAAAGCAAGTCACAAACCTCAGGAGCGATAGGAAGGGGGAGGGGGGAGGATGTAGCGCTGGGTACTAGAAAACTCAAGTGTATCGCCTTCCATTGCCGAAATTCAACACCATCAACAACCGTCCACGGCACTCACCCCCCCCTTGTTCTCTGCGGAAACTGCTCGCTTGTCGGAATCTCTTTTTGTGGCGATGGCAATTTCAGGTTCAGATCCGCTACACCCGTCTTGACGGCACCAAGTGCTTGCGGGTACTCACCAAGACCCAGCGGGTTACAAAGAGCAAGGCTGCCGCAGAGAGGTCCATGGAGGTGCGTACGCCCGTGGATCAGGCAGCCGTCGTCATGCCGAGGGAATTGCCATGTGGTTGTAGTAAAACAAGTGTTATTGATACACATGCCGTTTGGTCTTGGTCCATGTGTGGGCGGTGCTGTTCCTGTTGATGATGACGGTGCTGTTGATTTCTTTTGAAGGTTCCATCGCCGGGTGTGATGATTAAATCGTCGCAGCCTTTGTCTCTCAAGCACGATGCTGGTCTGCTGCTGACGATGCCACCCTACCGCGACCTGTCGGTCTTCCTTTCGCACCCAACACCACCACCAGATGGCGGTGGTGGCTGGCCATGCCTCTAGCGCCTCCGGCGTCCTGGCAAGCAAGGGCGCCTACCAATCCACCCGCGTGACGATGCGGGCCTGGAACAACCTCATGTCGAGGAACCAAACCCGGGAGACACGGGCCCAGGTGAGTGAAGAGTGCGTCGGCGGTGCGTGTGTTGAGTGTTGATCATGGCTCTTCATGTTCGTGTGCCTGCTGAGCCTATCTTTGTTCGCTCTCCCTACCCCGGCTCCTTCCCTGTCTCGCCTGCCCCCTCCCTCTCTCTCTCCCTCTCATTCTCTCTCTCTGTTTTCCCTCGGCATGGATGTTTACCATACGGCCACTCCGAGCCAAAAGAGGGCTGACGTCGAACCATGTTGCCGTTTGGACAACTCTATTCTCTTGTTCCGGAACGCCGAGGAAGCTCAACCGTCGACTGTGGCTTCCGCAGAAACCGTAAACTCTCTACCCGTAGGTCCGCAATAGGTCCACGAACTCATTTCAACGACGAATATGACGAGCGACCATCCAGTAACCCCCCCCCGCCCCCCCCCTACAAAATAGGTGGAAACCTACGGCAGGGCCATGCAAGCTCTTGACTCGGAGGTTGTTCAGGCCCAGAGGTCCGAAGGCGGGGCGGCCTTCGGTCATGCGGTGAGCCAGACCAAGCAGACTAGGGTTCTCGTGCCGTTTCGGGGAGATGCCGTCCGGACGGGCACTACGAGTAAAGCACGAAGTATGAGTCGTGTTGCGAGAACGACAAGAAAGTCGCGGGAAAATCCACCGGGGTATTTCGCCGTGTCTGTGCTACCAATCAAAGCACGACGTACTGGAGAAAAGTAGGTCGTGTTGCCAGAACGACAAGAACGTCGCGTAAAAAGCACTGGGGTGTATCCTACCGGGTTTGTGTGCTATCAATCACGCCCACCCCCATTTACTGCAAAGCACCCCGAGTCGGGCCTCAGTTTTGTCGTTGCATCTCAAACAATGGTACGCATCACCGCACCTAAGCACGACACCCGAGGTCCTTCGATGCGTGCTACACGCAAGATGGTAGATGTAGGTATGTTGCAGTTGTTCTGCTCCGTCGGATGAAAGCCCATGTTTCGTCCACCTGAAACCGCGCACAAGTTCATCTCTTCCCGCTTCCTTTGTCGCCGCCGCTGCCGCCGCTGCTCCATGCAACACTGCTGTCGCAGGGCGGAGCAGTGGACGACGTCTTGGAGAGCCTAGTCCACGGCAGGGCCCGCAAGTCGGCCCGCTCCGGCAACGACGGGCTGTCCTACAACGCCTTCAGGGCCAAGACCGGCTCCAAGAAAAAGTAAGTTCGAGTACAACGCACATTTCGCACACTCTCTCCGAACCCTACACCTAGATAGCTTTAGGAAATACCTCAGTGTCGAGTAAGCTTAGGAAAGACGACGGTAACCTTAGTGACGAGCCCAGGTACTTGTACAAAGCAGCGGGGGTTGTCGGCTCCGGTTGTTTCGAACCACCGGGTCTTGGCTTGTGTCGAACGGACCGCCCGCGAGGCGGTTGTATCGATCGTTGTGGCCTCTTTTTCCCGCGAGATCAGGCCAAAAGGCAGAGCTTGAGTGACCTCGGCGAGAGATCGTCGTTGTTTGTTCCTTCGCAAGACTTTGTCGTCGTGTGGGTGCATCGAAGCATGCGTTCGACCGAGTAGTCAACAGACACACGACCGGTACTCGACCACTGCATGCAGCGATGATCCCAAGTCGATGTTCTTCGTGACGTCGAGTTCGTTCCAGTTCTTTGTTTCCGCCGACCGCACGATCCCAAGTCGATGTTGTTCCTGACGTTGATTTCGTTCCCGTTCTTTGTTTCCGCCGACCGCACGATCCATAGGTACCAACCCGAACCGACCGACCCCAAATGAAAAACACAGGCTGCACAGACGCGGTTCGTCCGAAGATGGGCTAGACAAAGCCAAGGGCGTTCGGATGCTCAGGGCGTTCGAAAGAGGTCAACTCGTGCGAATAATGTAGAATTCACACTAGTGGTGGTGTAGAATTCGAAATGGTATAGATGAGGGATTGAGGGCTGTCGAACTCTCAGCCTATCCCGGGATGAAACTGTAGGCATGAACATCAGGAGGAAGGGCGGAGGGCGTACAAGACAGAAGAAAAAGTCAAGAGTTTGGCGCTGGCTCTATTTGCGTGACTGAGAACCTAGACAGCATTGAAGGAAAACGAAGAAAAAATGTCGTCTCCGTGCACAGCGTTCTTTACACTTGTGGGTGTGTTTTTGTTGTGTCGGAGGGGGACACTTTTGCCCGTCTGCTCTCTCGGTTTGGTGCGATGTAGAGGGGGGAGCAGAAAACGATATCACTACAATTGTATATAATTGGTAGGCGTGCCACGAAGGACGTTCGAGCTAGTATGCCCATTCTTGCCAAGCTCTATCGCTTACCAAGAAGAACATGCGAAGTCATCAGTTGGACACTACGTGGATGGGGGATGGTGGGACAGCATGGGTTCGGGACTGCAAGAGGCTTTGATTTTATCGAAATGGTTTCAGCATGTGGAGGAAGGAGTGCGCAAGGGATTGGGACAGCAACAGAGAATTAGCGGTACATCAAAGTTGTGAAAAAAAGTAGACATGCGAGAGATCAGTTGAGTATACGTAACGCAGCGGCGGCGAGAGTTAGAGTGTACCCCACGACAAGCAGGTCAAAAGAAGGGCTAGTTTGGCTGCGCTTCAAGTGTTTGTGCCGATAGGCTATTTGCCGTGGCATTGCCAAAGAGAGTGCGGTAGACCCAAGGAAGGAAGGGGAGGGCCGTCGAGGGGAGCGATAACTGATTAAGGCATACAGCGGAGGTTGGACGCTTTCCAGCACCTGGTAGGCGGGAGATGTCGAAGTGGGGGCGTGAACGAGCCGCTGGCTAAAGGTGTGTTCCTGCTGGGGGTTTTGAAGCTTCGAGAAACGGGTTTTGCTTCGCGAGATGGACCTCTCTCGCCAGGGACTTTAAAAAAAATCGATCTACCTTCTCCGTGGTATTGATGTGCTCGAGAGATCCACGCCAAGTTACTCCTCATGACGTGTTTGTGAATTAATGTCCATTTTTCAACCTCGATTGTGGGAGGAGACCCGGGACACGGTGGCGGTTTACGTGAACAAAACAGCAGGGGAACGGTGTGGAAGTAAGTGATGAGCAAGAAGTAAAAAGAACGGTGAAAATATGGACCCAGGGGAATAAATTCGCCCTCGAAACGTTTGCCCACCTCCAGTGGTGGCATTCGTGGTGTGCTTACCTTTTTGCTGAATTCTGTTTTGCAGGGGTGCGAACCGAACCAATCGGGGGTATTCTCCCGTCATCCGATACTGTTGGATGTACAGCATACCCACTATGCTGTACATGCAACAGATACCTCTGTGAGTGCTGCGACGTACCGAAACCCTACACCCGGAAGTTGTGTGAATGCTCGGACACTTCGGAAAGCCTACCCGGACTGCTGAGGTCTGTACCCAGATAAAAACGTGTCGAATACCTGGGTCAACAGCACCAATCAAGTGGGTTACACCGTTCGGACAAGGAAAAAAATGATCAGAATCCGGTACAGCAAGTGAACTACCGATTTCAGGGTCATGACTTGAGTGATGTCCCCCGTTAGGTACACCGACGGATTGATTGGCTCGCAACTCTGCCTTCTTGGTGTGGTCATCATAGACGTGAAATCAATCCGTACAAGAGCGTGTTACGGCAGACTCACACATGGTACGAACTGCGGCCATTGCTGCGTTCGAAATAACAAACGCAAGCCCAAGCACCACGCGTTGTCCACACATGGATGGATGGATGGATGGATGGATGGATGGATGTGTAACTCGTCTTCACGTCAACCCCCGAATGTCGCCCCGCACGTACGCCGAAAACATTTTCTCTGTTCTAGGGGTAGTAAGCAGTTACACTAATCGAACATGAACGTGGGAACGGCTACACAAAGGAGATCCATGGTCGCTCAGACGCAAGCGAGCACCCATCGCTCTTCCCGCCTCCCCATCTACCGCCGCCCTCCCCGCCGCCGTTTTGATGCCCCGCAAATTTCCACAAAACTATGCTGGCCCACCCTCCGACACCGCGACCCAGAACGCCGGCCTAAACTCGTCCACCCTCAGAGAACCCCCGCCGTCCTCGACCCTGTAGGGCGAAGGGGGGAGGTGCTTCACCTCCTCCATCCGGAAGCCCGAGCCCTCCACCATGAGCAGCATCTCGTCGAGGCTCAAGGCGAGAGCCGAGTGGGTGTGCCAGTGCAGCGGGCCGCAGTTGATCCACACTCCGCCAGGCCTTAACGCTCGCCGGATGGTCGCGACGTACTATTTGTATCGGGCGACGGCAGCATGAAGAACATTATTTGGCGGGGGGGGTAGGACTGCTGTGGGTCATGTGGCGAGGAAAACAGAAAAAACTGTGTGCCGAAAAGCTCTCCCTCGTTTTGGGGGGAGGAGAGGACCTTTTGCAAAAGGAGGCAGCGTTACGCGTGTTCGATGGACCAGCGCAGACTCTCACTGAACTGCGACGTTGCTGCTGCAATCTACTGCCCCAACGCGCGTACACGCCAAAACGAGCGCCCCCGTTCCTTCTGCACACGGGGCGGCACGGCCGCCCTCACCTGTACCACATTGGGGGCGGTGTCGACGAAGAAGCTCGTAACTACGGCGTCGAAGGCGCCTTCGTATGGTCCCCCCACCCCGCCGTAAGTTTCCGAGAACTCTCCGGCCTGGAAGCTCAGCCTACCGGACGCTTGAGCAAGCAAGGCCCGTCCCTCGGGGTCCGGAAACAGGACAGAACGAAACCTGACGGAGGGGGGACATACGTTAGTGAAATCTCCGTCGTGTTTGCAACACTTGGTGAGGATTGTCTTTCCTCTAGCCTGAGGAGTACGCAAGGGAGGGGGGCACTTGAACTGTATGATGTATTGTCGCCGAGCGATTTAAGACACCAGAAACTAAATCTACCCTAGATTTTGAACCACCGGTACCTACGGGGGAACGATTGCGGCAATGGGAGAAAACGGCGAAATCCTGGCGTGAATGACCCCCTCGACGCTCCCCGTACAGAGGCCACACCACATCTGCAGACGCTTTACTCCCAAAGACTTGTTCCGTTCCCCCGTCTTGGTGCCGACCTCATCGCCACAAAAATATCACCTTTCGCCGAGCCTACAACCGCGAGCCCGTTCCTTACCGAGCCTCGCCGTCCATTTCGTTGTGGGTGGCGTCGTTCAGGAACGGGTAGAACTCCAAGAACCCCTTCCCTCCTCCTCCTTCCCGTCCTTCTTCTGCATCGTTCTCTGTCGCGGGCTCGTCCTCGTCGGCACCAAGACCGAAATCGCCGACAACGTCGTCGTCGCGATCTGACACACAACAAACCGCAGCCGGTGGCGGCGACGGCGTCGATGACGACAGCGAAGCGTCGTGCTGCTCTCTGCTGGCGCGCGGCAGCGGGGATGTAGGGGTGGGTGTCCCCGTGAAGTCGGCGCGTCGTAGCGCCTCCATCAACCAGTAGCATGAGGATAGCACTGTCGTTTCGGGTGCGTGCGCGAGTAGAGGGTAGAAGCGTGTGTGGGCGAAAGGGGGGCGCTGGGTGGGAACATCGCTCGCTCACGGCGGGGCATTAAAATGCCTACCTCATGAGAACGCGCGGTGCACGGGCTGAACCAGATCGACGCGGCTCACACCTTCAACCACGGCTAACGCAGAGCGCACTGCACTCAACTGGTCGTGGACAGCTCGTTCGCGTGGACGCTCGCGTACCCTCTCGCCGCGATCTCTGTTGCCAAGCGTCCGAGGCCGGCACCGGGCACCAAAACATTTGCCGTGCGCCCACAAGCTGGCGGCGTGGTAGCCGGTGGTGGATCCGCCTGGCCACCGCAACGGCCGCCGCCGCCGCGGTCACCGTCCGTGTCACTCAACCCGTCACCATTACTATAGCTATCACCACGGCCACCCGCACTACTAGCGCCTTCTTGCCGGGAGAAGCGGTCGTCCAGGGCTTTGAGGAGCGGGGAGTAGACGGCGGCTCTCACGGCGGCTCCCTCCGAGGTCCAGTCTCTCAAGATGTGAGTGAAGATCTTTACCGTGATGACACGTATAAAGGTGGAAACGCGTGGGGAAATGGGGCAGGGGGGTACTGGCTCGGGCGCACGGTTTTTGAGTAATACTTGCGCAAGAGCAGAAGTCGCGGCGCGGGCATAGTAACGCGTGCGGAAACGTGTTAGTCGGCGTGAAGAGATTGAGATATATAATTGCGACAGATACCATACCGAGATGCGAAATATGAAGCACAAGAAAGAGCGGGCCTGGAGCACGAATGGCACGGACCATGTGGTTGTGTGCAACGTCGATTGGCTACACGACACGACAAAAACCGCTTGGAACAGAACAAAATCCCCCGGGTACTTCCTTTAATGCCTACCCTCCGCCGCGTGCTTGTTTCCTTGCCTGATGCGTCTCGTCGTAAGAGTTGAATCCCTTGCGGGTTTTCGAACCCGCCTTTCCCTCACCGCCGCCGCCGCCGCCCGCGTCCCCAGCCCCCACCCCCTGAAACATCGGCACCGGTATCGCGCTCCGCTCCTCGGCCGCTGCGGAACCTGCGGAACCTGAGGACTCTGCCGAACGTGCGGAACCCGCGGAAAAATCTTCTCCAGTCGCGTCACCCCCTGGGGCCACCCTCCCCGCCTGTTGTTGTCTTCTTCGCCCCACCCCTTCTTTGCCCCCGCTTGCATTGGAGACGTCACCATCGGCAACAACATCGATGTCGTAACTGCTGTCATCTTCTCGGCCCTTCCCGACGGGCCTACTGGTGTCGATGGTCGTGTCCCGGTCACTGTCATACTCGCTCGTGACGGGCGGGGTGGGTGGGCGTGGAGGAGCCGGAACAGGAAGCCCAGCTACGAAGGGCACGGGGCACAACAGCCATGACAAAACGTCCGCGTTGACCTGTTTCGGGGGCGGGGGGGCGGACAATAGCGTAGGGGTACGAGGAAGAAGAGCAGTGCATACGTGGCTGTGTCCGGGGGGCCGATGACTTGACACTGGCGTGGCGGCGGTGCCCCCTAAAAGCAATAGACACGCAAGCACAAATACAGACCGAGAGAAGGCGTACCAACAATGGTCTACCGGTGCCTTGCGAAGTCGTGTCGGCGAAAACAGAATCACGCGGCAAGGTATGTAATACGAGTACGGCACCAAGAGTGCTTGTTTCGTGACACAGAAAGACAACTTACGTAGTCTACACACCTGCCATCGCGGCGGCATCTTGTTCAACTTGCGCCGGAGTTTGGCAGCAAGGCGGCGCATCCCTTCTCCAGGCATGTCCCCGGGCCTCACATTGGCCTTCGGCGCTGCCGCACTCTCGAGGGTGTTGATAATCATGTCCAAACTCTGGGCGTCGGGGGAAAGCAGAACCGTGATTACTGTTGAAGCACAAGACCTGTCAGCTATTCGGAAATATCGAGAGTTGTTGGTATCCTCGATGTAAGATTGGCGTAGAACCTCGGACGCCTTGCTCTACCGACCGGATCGAAAAACGTACAGAAAAAGTGCTTGTAGAGCGAAGTTTACATATAGTGTAGTCTATTGTACAGCACAACGATCCCAAAATGTATGACGCCGAAAAAACCTAGCTAAGCACTTTCATGGTCATGCCGCAAATAGTGAACACCCCGCTCGAAAGCATATCCCAAAATCCCCAGGAACCAGCACTGAACAACATTGCGCACACAAATGGCGTTGGCATCTTGTAAGGCAAGACGGCACAGTAGTATGACAAGCTTGGATTGTTTTCTCTTCCTCGCACACACCTGTACGGCCTTGACGAGATCCTGCTTGTACTCCTCCACCTTGTGGTTCAGGTGGCTCCATCTGCTACTGGCGTCGTCATCAATCCCGCTCCGAAAAAAGGGGATCGCCATCTGCGCAGGCTGTTGTTCCCCACCCACGTTTCCCCTGCCTCCGTTGCTGCTCCCGGTGCTCCCCAAGGGTCCCTGCTGCTGTTGAAACTGTTGAATCTGCAAAGTTGGTCTATATTTTCGACACAGCAATAGCAGCACTCCTACCGTACTCACTAATCCCAGTAGCACGACGCGCTGGGTCCGCAACAGCATGGAATCGGAGAGAAAAGCTTCTCTACGATACTAGAGTCCGCTGTGGAAGACCATGGGTGAAACTCCGGTGGAGAGAGAGCTCCGTACACGGCCGCGACGGTAAACGTGCCCCCTCGCCCGCACTGACTTCTTTTTGGGGTGGTCAATGGAAAGGAGCAGAAGGGAAGGAGGCATGCCGACTCTTGACAGTCTAGCCGTGCTGATTTTTTTTTTTATTTACCACATTGCCACCTATTGGGTTGGTTATCGTATATAGAAACACAGATAGCACCACGCCAACCCTACGGATGCATTACCAATTTATCCTACAGACCCTTTTCTTAGGATGGAGATGCCTTTCTTTGTTGTGATTTGCCATAAGTAGTTGAGTGTTGAAGATATGTACCGTAGAAGTGCGTGTGATCGCACCCATCGGTGATTTCGTACCCATTTGTGTTCACTGGGGGTGGTTGCAAAAACATCAAGTGCGGCATGATCTAATTGTGCAGTATTTCCGCACCGGTATCGGTGTTATCGCACCCGGTGCGATGCATCGACGATATAAAATCTGATAAGGACGGAATTTTGCGTGCTTCCGCAAGGTACCGGTACCCTCTGGGCCATGTGTCGAACGGTATGTAACGCGGTTGGTTGACAGGTACCAATTGGGGCCCCATTTCATGTTATGAATATGGTACCGTCGTGGTTTGCGCAGGAGTCTAGTCTAGTCTATGCATAGATTTTTTTTTTTTCTTGTTCTGCGGTAATTCGTACATCGAACGCACTCACTCACTCAACCAAGCACATAGCAGTACACATCCCGCACCTCCAACCAACCGAACAAGGAGGAGTTGTAAACGGTACTACAATTCTACCGGTACCATGCCCCTTCCTTGAGGCAGACAAAGACAGAGGGAAGCACGAGCCAACAAAAGCGGGGCTTGCCACCAACAAAGAGGCTGGAAGAAAAACGATACCCCGCCGTATAGACTACACACCTTCCCCAGCAGGGAACCACAGCGTTTGTCCCATTTGGCACACGCCACCCCAAACTCGGATTCGACCTCATCACAATCACCACTCCGGGCTGGTTGCATGGTACCGTCTCTGCAAGCTCCTACTGCAAGAGTTACAGCACGCAAGACGAAGGTATCTATCTACGCCTGTTCGTTTCTTGGTCGCACCTATCGGTGTCATCGCAGCGTGGTGCGTTCACTCAGCACCGCATCATGGCCACTGTGATTTTTTCCACATCGCACCCATCGGTGTCATCGCACCGGGGGTGCGTTCGAAGCTAGATCGAAGTTATTTAATTGCATTTCCGCACCGGTATCGGTGTTATGGCACCGGAGTGCGATAAAAAACCAAGATATGAATGATTTCAATAACGATCGCACCCTGGTGCCATCACACGCACTGTTGCGGTATGCCCAGGAGGCTGCGACGAGATAATGGCGCACCTGCGCTACACAATATTCGTCTTTCTTTGTCCCCGATAGACGTGTAGTCAATAACATATATACTGAGGACCTGGTACAGGGACATCTACATGCGACAGCAGTAGGCCTCGAGGTGGTGGCCATGACTTGTGTGTGGGAGTTAGCACGCGAGCATGACTTGTATGAGGGGGTTTGAGACCACGACACGTTGCATAGAAAAAGGGCGCGGTTCAAAAATGTGTGTGCAGCAGTATCCTGTATCCTGAATCCGGGTTTGTTTCCACGAGGCGGGTGCAAGCTGACGGTGCAGAGCGCTCTGAGTCTTCATCGTGCAGAGGGCTCTGAGTCTTCATCGGTGAGTCTACGTGCCACTTTTCGAGACCAACAATGTCACAGCAGTATACACACGCTTCACGCAGCCCAGATCCATCAAGATCGAGTTCTTTCCTTTGAGCGTTACATACAACGATGGCGATGCAAGCACGCACACACCGATACGAGACACGAGACTGGAGGGCAGACTCCGGCTGCACCCTACCACCGGTTGACCACACCCTTACCTTGATGCCAGCATAAACCTGTGTACAACGCGCTGCGGCCAAGCGTGAAAAACTATTTCCTGCCGTACAGAAACGTAGTCACCCATTGCACAACGTCCGTGAGTCGAGCTTTGGTCTACGGTATGCGCGTTGAAGGGTCTGCCGCCCCCCAACCTGGGCCAGTCGCTCCGGAGGATCTTTCTTGATGAACATGTTTGCGTTCGATCTATTCTGGCCGCCAGTCTACATGTTTCGGTTTGTGCTTGATGTGCATCATCCAGCGTCACACAGCAGGAATGAAGTCGCAGGAGTTTTTTCATTTTTTTGGTATCGCAACAAGTTGGTCACACATTCCTTTCGCTAGAAAAACGATACAGTATTCCCGTTGAAAAGCACATACCACTCAAAACTTTTACCATGACGACCCTGTACAACTCAACAACTCAACAATCCTTCGAAATAACTGGGCAGCAAACTCTACCCTAGGTAGGCAACTTGTCTCATGGCCAGATAACAGGTCTCTTCCCAGAATAGGGCCCGTAGGTTCCATCTGCCGTGATGCCGTCACATACCGTACCCAAGCCATCGTGTCGGAAGGCGACTGTCTATCCGAAATAAATATGAAAACTCAACTGGCGTAGCACATGCATGTGTGTAGTGTCGGCTGTTAAAAGCAGCCCCCGTCGAGAAATCGCACAAAAAAAATAAAACCATCGTGAGGGCGTCCCCGGCAAAGTGGCGGTCTCGACACAAAATCCTACTTATTCTGTATCCCGTGGGGCAACGCCGAGCGCTGCGTAAAGCCGGCTGTCCAAGTAATCCGAGACGCAAATCCCCCCGCCGATGACCCCCTTCAGCCTTTCCTGTGACCCTTCCCCAACGCCGAAGGTGTAGAGCCCCGCCGAAACGGCAGAAGACACACCGTTGACGCTGTCTTCGAAGGCCACGCACGCGTCCGCGGGGAGGCCTAGCCTCGACAGCCCTTCTAGGTAAGGGTCCGGGTGGGGCTTCGCCCGCGCGCACTCGTAGCCGATGACCATCGTCTCCTCAAACCTGGCAACGACAAGAAAAGAAAAGGGAGAGGGTAACCTGAAGCTTGAGTAAACAGACGGGTTGCGGGATAAAGGATGGAGAAAGAAAACAGTCGGTTGGGTGCGCTGCGGTGAGATACTGTTGAGGGTATTCTTCAGGGTGCCCTGCCGGGGGTGGGCACTCGTCAGCGCCTAGCCAGAGCTGACCAACGAGCAAGAAAATTAGGGAAA